GAGGGGAACGTGTCGGTCTCACAGGAGCGACTTGGCAGTGCATGCCGCACGCGGGTAATTAAACAGAAAATGGGCGTTAATAAATTCTCATGAACGTCGACCGGTCAGATCGAGCATCGTGAAACACACCGTGGGAAAAAGGGTGCTCTTTCTCGCTGGCAACGTGAATTTTGAGTCGGAGAATCTTCGTTTCTTTGTCAAACGAATTAACAGAGATCGAGAGTTTTTATTCTCTGCGAGAATTCGATTCCAAGATAATTTCACTGCTTATCGAGAAACGTAACTCAATACTCCAATCCGACATCGTTCGAGTTATAGATCTTTAATGCTACACCGAGACGAAACTCATTTTCACTTGTCTACTTCACTGTTCAATCGCTTTTGATTATCTTTTAATAGTCAGAGCTATAACGACCAGGTTTTTCGTAGCGACTGGTTAAAAAGGTCGTCGAAGAAGGCGATAATCATTTTCGACAAAGTGGATCTCGCACGCGATCAACTGGCTCGTGTTATAGGGGTGCCGCGGCTCGGTACATAGGAGAAAAAGAGTAGATAATTGAAAATGTAAATGCTCGGCAAATTAACGATCCGAATTGGAGGTATCCGGAGAGGGCGGGCGGCCAGAGTCGAATGTACGCGGTGTCTGATGATAATCCGCGGATACCGACACCGGTGGTACTGGTTCTGCGCGGATAAACGATTGCCAATTACGGAGGTGATAAATTCCAGCGGCGCAAATCGTCGGTTATGCGCTATCGCAGCCGTGTACTATGTGCACGCCCGTAATAATTAAGCGATGAACGGAGGAACGGACGATAGGACGATCCGGCGCGCCACCACGTTCTAGATACTATGGAATCGATTACGGGTATCGATAGATTGCGATCGACGATCCTCGAGAGGCCGACTTGGGTGTTCGGCAACCTTGAATGTAACTTGTGGAACATGTTGTTACGATTGTTGACTGGAGAATGGTTGCAAAGAAAATGAACGTGGAGAGTTTGTTGGGTTTAGATCTGTACGATTGTGGCAAGTTGATTCGGACAATGCTAGTATAGTTTCAGAAAGCTTCTTGTTTCCTAGTGAATTTTATCATTGCGGTTATTAATGCGAAATTATGAGATGAACTGTCAATCGTCTAACGTTCATTATCTATTCGTTCCTACGTGTTTCATGACACAATCGCTGCGAGCATCAAACACTAAGACTGCACGTATACAGTAGCAACAAGGCTCAAGCGAAGAATTTTATCGCACGTTTGCCTCGAACAACGACGAAACGTTCTAAGATAACCATAAAAGTGATGAACTTCGAGCTATTTCAACTCTAAACGCAAGAAATACAACGGCCAGTGGAAAGAAGGCGGCTGGATGAAAGCCGGCGTCGCGGTTGGTGCGAAATCGAAGCGTGAAGTTGCAATTCCCGACCGAAATAATCATTTCACAGGGGACACTCTATATATAGTATATCGGGAAAATCTGGGTTAACGAGCGTTCTCCTCCGGTCGAGTGTGCCTTTATAAACAGGATCACACACGTGCATGTGTGTCGCGAATCGCGCTAATTAACCCCGATGCTACCGTTCGATCTCGACACCAACGGAAACGATATCGCGAGTGTAACGATCACCACCGAGGGCAAAAAGCGCGACGATTCCTTTTTCGATGGGATCCGCGGTATGCACAGGACTTCTAAGTATCCACGATGGAAACACCTGCTCGCGATTAGCGTGCATCGTTAATTCGCGATCTCAAGAGGGATCGCGGGTTTAAAAGCCGACCGAGAACCGTGCAAAACCGTATTGCAATTCAGCCTTGAGTCCATACGTAACGCGAGTAATTACGAATCTTCTGTACCCGAACGATTAACTCTCCAAGGACGAGTGTGAAACGCATGTGTCTTTTCTTTCTTTTCTTCTTCTTCTTTAGTTACGCGGTAAACAATTATCTTTGGTTCTATTAGTACACCCATTAGACAAGCGTCTTGTTTCGTCACGCTGAAACTGGGAATAATTACGTTCTGTACCGTCTTGCTAAATAGGTGTCAAATATTCCGTCGAACGATAAATCACAACCCATGAAAGAGTACGTAGTATTATATCACTGGTTAGAACCCAAACGAGGTCCGTTGCTGGCTGCACGACGTTGATATTTTAACAAGAAGGTAGGCAACGGAAGAACGGAAAAGTAAAAGGCGAACGCTAGAAAGAAAAATCGTCAGGCCGGAGGATATTAGGAGAAACGAATCGCGGCGGGTGACTCGAAACGGATAGGTCGCCGAGTAACTCGGATCCATCGGGGGGCTCCGGTCCAGAAACTCGCGAGATAATGGCCGATTTTTTGCTCGATCCGGAGACACAGGCCGAACCGGGGGCTTTTATTGGGGCTTAAGCTGCCGAGAAAAGAAGGTGGCTCCATGATAGATGCGAGCGAACAACGGCTACATGGGTGGCCCTCCCGTCACACGCAACCTACTAGCCACCCCGAAGACATTCGCCGTGGCTGATATCAGACCGCGCCGGCCTCGATACGCCCGTCGATCCCACCGACGAATCTGCGTCGACGAAACCTGACGACCAGGGCGCCGGCGCCTAGGTCTCTCGTTTCACTTGTCGCTTTTGCAGATGCCCTGCTCTTGTTAGCGATAGTTTAGACTCTTCGCGATACAGATACATACAGTATTTTCATCCTGATAATTTGGATATGGATTTCTTTAAATGATAAATCAACCGTGATGACCGATCGTGTCAAAGTAGTAACAAATTATTAATTGTTTTGAATGAGAAAATCGAAACTGTGAACTGCAGTTGCATTGAAAATTTTTATTTTGGAGTTAAGTATATTATTCAATTGGAGTCAAGTATATTATTCAAGTGTTTCTAGTGGAATTTTATAGTTAAAAGTGAATTCCTGCATTCTTATAATGATCAAGTATTGCAGTTTCATTTTTTGTCAAAAATGATGGACAACTCTGAAACTTCTTTCTACGTCTAGACATTAAATTACGGACAGGCGTTATTCAATAAAATTATATTTAGTACTTGCTGTATTTTTTCTCGCCTTCGAAACACGTAAAAGAATCAGCACTTGTCCAAGCGTTCGAGCAACGAACATTTTTCGAGATTTTACATCGCAAAGTATCGTAAACCGTAAATTAAGGATGAAAGCAAAACGTTCCCGCGAACCGAAAACATGTGAAAATGTATGCCAAAATGCATGCACGCCATGTTTATACGCCCTTTGGCGTGTATTTATCTCGCCGTCAAGAAAATTATAAACAGTAAACAGGAGGTTGTAAAAAAGCACTCACCTTTTGCTGCGTGACGAATCCGTAATCCATGGCCAGCGTCAGTTTCCAAGACGTAGTTTTCCTCGGTTTAACAGCTCGTTTTTGCACTTTCACCAAAGTCGCTTATTACGCGCGGTTTTTTCTCGTACACTGTTTATTCTTTTAATTGATCGCCACGCCGTATACACCGTGTGGCGCTGTTATCGACGTATGATAATCGATGCCACCCACTATTGAACGAATCGTATCGATATTACTGTGAGATACATGCAAATAATATTTATTTATAAGTTTTAGTTTTACAAAAACTGAATATTGAAGATGTTAATAAGATCTACTACGTTATATTTTCTGTTTAATCGGATATCATTTTATGAGTTACCATCGATAATATTTAATTCGATATTATCGAATGAAAGAATACTGATATACGAGTAGACTATATTTTGTGACGTATGACAAAACGGGTCTGCCATTAGTCGATTCGTGTCAAGATTGCAGCTAGTGTCTTTATACGCGTGTTAGTTGCAAAATTAATATCGAAAGTGCTAATGTGATTTATCGTGTCATATTTCTTGCAAAATTATGTATCGTCTCGTTACGAGTTTCATATTATTGTCAACTGAACAGTAACAAATGAACACTGATGTATAAATATTGTTCACAGGTAACAGTAAGAAATAATTTTTACAAGAGTGGACTATTTTGCACTGTATAATAATGCGAATTATTATGCGAAAATCGTGAAATTAGAATAACGTACGAGTAATTATCGTAAAACTGGAGTAATATGCACGTATATTTCACGGTTAATATGCGAGTAGACCGTATTTAACCAGAGTTAAACTCGACTGTGAACGAATTTTGGAATATTATTTTGGATAATGACGCAAAAGGATACGCAGAATGTCAGTCGAACCGTAAACATCGAGAATGTTCGCGTTTATTTCTTAAATGCCTCGAGAGCTTTATTGTTATTAGTTCCCAGAAAAACTTGCTCGAGACTGTGGCAGTCGATCAACAAAACATACGTAGTACGCTGGAACAGAATTACGTCGCGCCATACCGGCATGTCAATAGACACCGATTGATGCCAATAGTATTTGCGTTACTCACAAGTTACAAAAAGTGAATATTGCGTTATATTTTTCCGTTTAACCGGATTTCATCGCTTTGTGAGTTATTGTCGATAATATTTAATTCTGAATTACCGAATGAAAAACCACTGATACGTGAGTAGACTGTATGTTGTGACGTATGATGAACCGACGTCCCCCATTGGTCGATTCGTATTGGGGTTGCAATAACTGTATTCGCGTTAGTCAGTTGCAAAATGAGTATCGAAAGTGCTAGTGTGATTTACCGTGTCGTATTTTATTAAATTGTGTGTCGTTTCTTTACGAGTTTGATATTATTAAGAACTAAACATTGATAAATGAACACTGATATACAAGAAGTAGTAGTAAAAGGAAGTGATTTCAATAGGAGTGGACTATTTTATACCGTATAATGGACAATGCGAATCACTTAGTATAGGATGATGTAGTAGTATATGAGATTAGAGTAACATATTAATATAAATCGTGAGATTAGAGTGATATATTAATATAAATCGTGAGAGTAGAATAATTACCGTAAAATTGGAGTAATATATATGCGTATATGCGCGTCACTTCACACCGATTGTACTTTAGGCGGGAGTTACACTCGATTATGAACGAATTTTGGAACGTTAATGGCGTAGAAGGATTCGCAGTACGTCAGTCGAACAGTAAACGCCGGGAACGTTTGTGTAAATTTCTTAAACGACCCGAGAGTTTAATCGTTATTAGTTGCCGGAAACTTACTCAGTACGGCGGCAGTCGATCAAAATATACGTACTACGCTGCGTCGTGCCTCGCCTCGCCGGCATGTCAACAAACACGGAGCTCACGACGCAATTGAGGTAAGTGGCTTATACGTTTGGAGTAGAATGTTCTTTTCCGACTTATTTTATACTCCATAATTTCACATAATTTCTCGCAATCAATAATGACTAATAACTCGAACGATTAATAATTCAATATGTTTTTTCTGCATCAAATAATAATTATTAGTAATTATTAATAAGAGTACATACTAATAAAAATATCCCACAACATCGTCTCTATTTTACAAATTCTGCAGTATTTCTGTAGTATTACGTTTATATTTATCGTACGCTTAATTTTATAAAATATCATAACAAATGAACTGTTGATGTGGTTGTCGATTCTATAACGTTCTCTACGTACGTAGACTGCGAAAATTTAATCTAACTTGGAAGAATCGAATGAAATATCGTATCTGATAGTATTGTCCCAAATGTTTCGAACAAGATCCGACAAAAAAAGGTCGAAAGTCACTTGGGAATCGTCAACAGGTTCCCTGACGGGATTTCAGAGATGCCTGAGGATAATGATACTACAAAAGCATGGGGATTTGAAGAAGTCCTCCGTTGCATGTCCTTTCTTTCGCATCTATAAAAACGTTCTACATATGTATCAAACGTTATAACCTAATATCTCCGGATTATCTTCGAAGGGAAATAATAAACAATTAGTTTATCACTATTTCTACTCACGGTACACGATGATTTTTCTATTTCTATTTCGACTACACTTTCCAAGTACGATTTAGATAAGTACATTGTTGCATCGAAGTAAAATTAATCTTGTCGAGACCTATTTCGGTAGCATTATGTAAGCCTATTAAGGGGACACTAGACATCTAAGAAAGAAGGACGGGACAACGTTTGAGGAATGCCGAAAAGTGGAGAAAAGAGAATGGTCACAACACGAATGGTGGGAAGCCACAAGGTAAAAGCGGAGAACGAAGAAGACTCGATGAGATTCTGGTTTTAATTAGTTGGAACCGCCGCAAGGGAACAATCGTTGGCATTAACGATATCGCAGATAAGGAATCAGACTTTTGAACTCTTGTTCGTAATCATCGATCCGAATACTTCTGACACGAACCCTCCTCGAATTCTTTCCAATCGGATGTCATTAAAAATCTAAACCACAAACACCTGCTCCGACTCCAACTAACAAGTGCTACGAATCGCCATTCACGTGGCTTGTTTATTCTGGTACGAGACTAAATTTCTTCGTCAAACGAATTTATCTCCCATTTTGTCATTTCTGACACTATATCGCGAATGAATTTTCACAACGATGATACAGTAATTACTCCAGAAATTAGTCAATGTTTGGAAGAACGTACTGATTGTTGGATAATTATAATTTCTATTTTGAGATGTAATTTGTTGAGAAGAGTTAAAGTGTAAACAGAGGGAAAGAGCTCCTGCATGAGAACCACTGGGCCGTTTACAATTAAGCAATGTAACCGAGTCGCAGACGCGTGGAGCGTCGTGTGTGGTCCCGGGGTTCGAATCCCACCTCTCCCTTTTCACTCTTTCCACCCGGTACCACCACTCCACCATGATGTCCCCACCACTTGGAGGTTCTCTTCAGCTCCTCTCGTGTTCGTTTTTCTCTTGTTTCTCCTCTCTTGCTCGCCGCGGCTCTTTACCTTCTTCGCCTGATCCCGAAGGTGGTGACTCATCCACCTATAGGCTACCACGGATTCGGGAATTCCTCCTCGTTCCTCGTCGCTCCTCGATCTGACGCGAATTTTTGCGCAATCGTGCAGATTTGTATCGAGATCACGAATAGCATACCGAACCCGTGGTTCGTTAGTACGGTGAACTTGCTTCGTACAATCTTTTTTAAGAACCCCTAAGAAAATATTTGCACGAGTTCTTTCAGTGTAGTAGCTCGTGATCATCCAGACAGTTTAAATTGCCTATTCTCGAAGATTAGACTGGGACAGTAGAGTTGCTTCACTCTCTCTTTCTCATTTGAATGAAATTTTCGTTAATGGTAGATTCATTGAACTTCTGACGATTGAATGTACATAAGTAATAGAAAATTTCCTGCTGAAGTTTCAAAATTGATTTGTCCCAGAGAGACGAGCGTGATACTTGGAAGAAAATTAAAACTGTCTGAAAAGAGGAAAAAACCAAAAAAAAAAGAAACAACTCGCCGTAATTTCTCCTGATCGACCTCCTTATAATCCATAAAAGTTGGCGTGACTTAGCTTTTAAAACTGGTTCCGATCGTCGAATAGAGCTGTGACGCGCGTGAGTGTCCACGGTCAGACATGTTTGGAGTTCGGACTTGTCGAGAGGCGCGGACGCGTAAAGGTGGACATGACACTAGGAAACTAAATACCGGTCGACCGATCCTATGATTCCAGCGGAGAGTTCGGCCGCTGTCAGAAAGCATCGGCCCGTCCGGACCTATCTCACTTAATTTTCGTTAAAGTCATCGAATCGGGGATTGGATCGTCTTACCGGCATTGTTCTCTATTCACACTGAGTATCGTGTCGATCGATGGTAACGACGCCGCAGAATAAGTTGGACCCGATTTCTTAGGGAGAAATCTCTAGATGAAATAAAAAAGCGTGTCTCCGCCACCTCGACACTTTTTTTCACTGAAATTTCTGGAAATATGTCTTTACTTATTTTCGCGAATATTTCAAACGACGAACGGTTTCGTCATTTGCTTGCGTATCGTTCGCAAGCAATATTTGCGCAACAGTGTTTGTAAAACTGTTTACCAGTGAGTGCGTGTCTGAAGATATCGTCGAACTCGTGCTTCTCTGAATTACTTTTTCAAAGTTTAACATTGAAATTCAAATACCAACGACAAAAACGAACAGCCACAGATTTATACGGAAGATGGCAACGTTATCTTATTACTCTTGGATATAGCTCGGCATTCGTCACCCATATGTTATCGTTGGCCAATTAAAATTCAGATTTACCTGCGACAGTCGTAACAATATTTAAGGATCATGGAACCGTTCCACGAGCAGAGACGACGCTCTCCGTTCTCCGTAACCCTTTGCACGGTTAATGAAGAGTTCGCCATATCCCGGGATGGCAGCTGACGTTGCATTCATGCATGAGAGTGCCGCGTCCCGGTCATTTGGCCTGTGGTGCAACTAAAAACAAGGCACCGCGTTCGAGTTTTGTCCCATCGGTGGCCGGTAACGCGCCTACCATGGGGACCAGCAGCAGAAGAAAATTTCAGAGGGGACCATCGACCCGCTGGCCCACACATCGAGTTGCCAGAACATGCGGATTGAGCCATTAAAGCCTGCTTCAAGCTGTTTCGAGGAAATTCACCAAACAGAGAGTTCATTATTGTTTCTGTCGCAAGCGACTGCTGTACGCATGCGACGAATGAACGAACCATCGTCGCGGAGTTATTGCCGAACCTACAGCGATTCTGTCGTGTATTAATCTACTGGCTGATTCAAATAACCCTATCTCGTATAATGCTCAGGTTCTCAGATATTCAAAGTTCTATCTTTGGATATGTTACGGCGTGAAATTTAAATATACGCTAGTTAGGATTAACCCAGCTCTTTCTTTTGTTTAATTTCGTGATCTTCGGCGAAAATTGAAAGATCTTTACTGTTTCGTCTACACTTTCTCTGTTCTTCATTGAAACGACGAGTTTTACGTTTACGTATATCCTTGCGTTTACCTAGAGATACTTTAGCGCTGATTTGAAATTTCTGTAAAGATGGTTATCGACCTCTGAAGTTGGCAAAAGTATGCTTTCGTTTCACCGCGTGAAACGGCCAACAAATTGCACAACGGTCCGACTTTTACTCGAACGAGCAAAGAACCGCGAGAACACCGATGGCCAAGCACGCGCGAGACCTTCCACGAGATAATTTATTGGTCAATCAAAATGACGCATGGAGGTATAAGGTGACACGTCAGCGTACACGGCTGACCATTAATTTTAATACCCGTCACCATCAGATCTCCCGACGGTGCTTTCCACGTTGGCTCCCCACTGACGGTGGAGCATATCCATCGGCATCGGCTACCGTACGACTAATGCTCCGTTCACTAACGACGATCATCCTTGAAGATCTCGGTCTACCGATCTCTCACAGCCGCCACGAATTATTATCCCTCTCTTAATCCCGCGCAGCCGACCCGCGTAGCCTATCCGGTGACGAGTTCAATAACGCAAGAAATTGTAGAACTCGAATTGAAAATACACGGGAAATTGGAGATGTTGGGAATGTTTTTGAAACGGAGAAATTGGAGAAATTGAGAAACTCGAAACAATCTTTCATGTCAAACTTTTCCATGAAAAAGCAGTAACAAGAAAAAAAAAAGAAACGAAAAAATAATAACATTGACAAAGACAAAAGGACGAATAACGTAACGCAAAAGCGGGATAAACCGGGTATGATGTCGTGAAAAATCACGCGGTTGAGATACTATCGGACGAAAGATCTGCGAGTCCGGATATATGTATATCGATGGTACGCGAAGAACGCGTCAAGAGGTATGCAAGCACGGTAAGTGCAACGTCGATTGATAGCGCGCGTCCCCTTATCTATAAACCATTTTCACTTTTTTCTCCTCCATTTCCCCTGGTTGCTTATCTGGCGTGCAACCAGGAGAATTCTACGACGTTATTTACGGCTGATTAACCGACTCAATAATTCCCTTCCGCGTTACTTTATTGACCGTGGACCACGCGCGATTTACCAGCGATTTATAGCGCGAGATAGACCGAGATATACCACTGCCTCCCGGATCGGCTCGTTCTGTTGTGCTGACCTCGTAAATGTAAACAGAGACCGAGAACCAAACTGACCGGTAATCTCCGACGAATTTGCATCTGATTCTTTTTCTTCGAAACGGTTCGAACGATCGAGCCGGGCTAATAGGCAGCGTGTTGCATGCATAAAAGGGAAACTTGGATAAGCCGAACTGTCGTTCGCAAGAATCAGATCGTCGGTCGTGCGTGAAACGGAAACCGTTTCGTTTCCCAACGATTCAGAGATTGTGCCCTAGCGGCATCGGACGCGTTTCGATCGGTGAGAACCAGCGTCCATCTGATCTCGATTCGTTTCGTCGACGATTCCGAAAGTGACGGAGCGTACGTCAACGTGGAATGAATCACGGCGTGTCGTCGATCCTCGGATGCATAATTTTCGAGGCTCGAAGCTACCCAAGGGCTCGGTGGTTCCTGTTCCCGCCGCGTTACAAGAGGCGCGCACGGGTCGGTTTGCTCAGGAATGTCGAACGGGTCGGTCACAGGGTTAATGTTTGCTACCTCCTCTCACGTGCCTCCGACTTTTCTCTCTGGTTGTATCTCATTTGTAAAGATTCCGGGACAAAGGAGCCACGAAGAAGAGTCGTTTGTGTAGCTCTGCGCCGCGCTTCGCCCGTGAGTAGTCTCGACTCCGGGGCCGTGTACGCCTACCGGACAGACAGAAGCGCGAGTCTGTCAAGTGGCGCGATTCTAATCTGACAGGGACGTATCGGTTGCCGGCCTCTTCTCCCTCGATCCGACGACGCGTTTCTGGGCCGAGCGTTACTCGGGCGCCAGGCGACTTTTTCGATGGAAAGAAACTTTTGTCAAATATCGATTTTTATTTCGTTCCACGAAATATAAATGCCATTTCGGATATGAAAGTCTCGAATAACTTTACTTTTAACTTAAGGCTGCCAAGTCTGATTGCAAATGACTTACTTCGGAATTTAAATAATTAAGTTTATGAGAGTCGACTGAGTTGAGTTTAAACTCGAAGAGTTCGTAAAATTTCGTTTAAATTCAGCCGACGATACATCGCGGGATGGGAGATTCAGGTACCAAACTTCCGTCCGTCCCCGAGCAGCAGCTCTTGTAAAAAATAATCGCCGCTTATTACTCATCGCGACGTCGCCGTTGTAGCTTGTACGTTAATGTCGTCTATTACTTACCAGGTACGTTCCCGAAGGCGAGCCGGGTCCCTCGGATATCCCGAACGATCTTCTCGGGCCAACAACCCGAAAGCTCCATTGTCGAAAAAGAAAAATCGTGGGACTCCGGGATACACGAGGGGACCGATGAAATTATTTATTCCCCAACGTCGACCAACTCTATCTTCCATCTCTTCGCTTCCTGACCCAAACGACGGCCACTCACCAGCTTCCACATGACCTCGACGTTTCATCGGGTAAGTCGTTCGAAAGACTCTTACTCTGCTGAATTGTAGAATTTCGTGCTTTGCAACGAAAAATTCGAAACGTCACGAAATTCGTACGAACGTCACGAAATTCGTACGAACGTCACGAGCTGCCTGTACATACGTTAACGATCGTCTTGGATTTGTCTCTCGAACGACTCGTGGGTCGAGAGACGAAGGCACCGAAACAACGCTGGCGGAGGTTAAATGATGTATAAAGTGCGTCAACCGACACTACTCACCGTGCGAGTACACACGCACATCGCGTTCACGGTATAAACGTAGGCGTGGCTGGTTTGATATCAACGATGGCCACCTTTCGACTGTAAATCAATCGATATCGCGCCGGCAGGAGGGGCTTTTCATAGGGTTTGGACGGGCCTGAAATACGGCTCTCGGGGGTGGAAGCATGCGCCAAATGCTGAATGCGAATCGACCCGCCCCGAAACCTTTTATCCCGACACTGATCGCCTCTCTCGCCTCTGTCTTTCTCTCTCTCTCTCTCTCTCTCGTCTGCTCTCTCGGCGAGCCAGCCTCGCGTCGATGCATTTCGATAAACATCTGGCTCGATTGATTCCCTTCCCGGTGTTAATTAGCACGCGTCTAGTACCGCTTTCACGGCATCGATCGGCTGCGCCGCGTTAACGTACCGAGATCGCGAGATCACCTTGCCTCACTTTTCTTTCGCTGCAGATCTTTCAATTGGATATTACTAACCGAGGTAGGGTTTTCGTTTCTTCTTACTTTAACGATATCAAATGGACGTGTGAACTTGCAGCGTAACATTTCTAGAGAATCGTGTCCCAGAATTAGTTTTGTTATCTCCGATCCTCTACTCTCCATTACATGGATTTTAGTGGAACTTGATTCCTTAGAATAGAACTTTCTCAGATTGTCTGCTAACAGTACTTTGAGCGTTAGAATCATATTATATTGTGTTCGATATAGTTATATAGTAGAGTTCTTGAAAAAACTTACAAGTTCAATGCCCCGTATATCTGTAACCAGACACTGAATTTCCAGTATATTGCTATCTCGCGCACAGTCGAAGTGTGTTTGATTTTATAGAAAACCCGTGTATGTATCTTATTAGGAATGGGACCGCCGTTAATTACCCGGCTAATTCGGTTTGCCGGTGCCGCGTAATTATTTAATCGACTGTTTATCAAGCCGCAGCATCGTCGGTGTCTTTGCGTAGACGTTTGAAAAAAGGTTTATCCCGACCGTCCCGAGTAAACCACACGTGCACAGTCGGGGAATTATCTGTGACCAAAGGAACAGGATGGATGTTGAAGATAGAACAAGCATATACGCCGATACGTGGCTCGTGATAGTGGGAATATTTAATTCGATCTTTAAATAATTCTTACAAGGTATAAGTGCTCGACGTTGTATCGAACCTTTCGTATTAGTATAGTAAATAAATAACTAAGTTATTTTTAAACAGTCTATCGAGACCCAACGTTCTCGCTAAGTTGCATTTTATTTACACGACGAGATTTATCAATTTTCTTCGTACTATTTACTGCTCCTCGTACATATGTATATGTGTAACATTTTCTATTGCACATCGCAATCGTACGATATCTTACATTTTTACAATAAATTAACGGAACGAAACTAGAATTTTACATTCACTCTTACATTCTCTCTCTTTCTCTCTTATTATTCACATTCTTGTCACGGTTGAAGTTTCTTCATTCGTTTCTCTCTCTCTCTCTCTCTCTCTCTCTCTCTCTCTCTCTCTCTCTCTCTCTTTCGAATACTGGTTCCTTTATCAAAGAACGATGACTGTTTTATACGTTTTATCTTCGATCTATTGTGTTCGCGAGAAAACTGTACAAATGGCACTGTACAACCCATTTCACCATGACTTGACGCGATTCGCGCGTGTAATTGCGACGATCGATCGACTATTCATATATTCTGTTCATTCCCTCAGATTTAAATACGACATTTTTATTATTCACGACATAGGAACGTGCGTGCTGATTCCTCCCTTACAAACGATATTGAATGATAGCTATCGTTGCGTATCGTCGCGCGCACGACCACCATCATTCGATTCTTAACGCCGGTAACTCGTGAGCTTTCCTCTCGCGGGATTCGTTGCGACGCGGGTTTCATCGATCTCGAGGTTACGACGGGAAGCTCTAAAAGAACGAATCGTCCAAATTCGTTCAGCAATCGTTCAAATAATAGTCGCCGTCCGGTGGCACTGAATTTGTCTTCACGAAGTAATAAATAAACTCAATTTTGCAAACGTAGAAATTACAAACACCCAACCTACGAACCTCCGTCAGACTCAATTCGACCTTCGAGTTCGGTCATTTTCGAATTTCGGTAAATCGAAAACAAGACGAAGACGTTTCAAACGAAGAAACGCGATCTTTGGAGCACAAGTTCTTTTTTTCTTTTTCTTTTTTCTTTTTTTTTTTTTTTGATCTCGGTAATAATCATTCGCAGAAAATTTACAGGAGGAACGTTAAATAATCTAAGACTAACGCATACATTTGCTCTCTCTCTCTCTCTCTCTCTCTCTCACTCTCGTTTCCATCGCCATTCGCCGGATATTCCGTCAACGACACATTCTCATCCTCCAGCGACCGACATTCAACGCGGTGAAGTTCACTCTCGGCGAGGTCTCGAGACGAACGAGCCTCGTCGATGGATTTAGGCGCAGTTACTCGATCGATCCTATTGTCGTCACTTCGCTTGAAGTTCGGCCGCTTGTTCCTCTTCCTCCTTCGTCAGAGGCACCGTCGAGTGATTGTAAAGACCCTGGGCCATCAGCTGGAGGGCCAGCGGGTTCTTCTGGCCGCTGGCCTTCTTGATCTTCGCCCTCTTGTTCTGAAACCAGATCTTGATCTGCGCTTCGTTCAGACCCAGATCCCTCGATAGCTGCTGCCTCCTTCGTTCGGTCAGGTATCGATTCTCCGCGAATTCCCTCTTCAGCCTGGCCAATTGCTCGCCGCTGAACGCGGTCCGCGGCCGCTTCTCCTCGGGGGTGCCGCCATTACCACGGCCGTCCGACCTCTTCACCCTTCTCGTGCGCGGACCTGCAACACGGTAGGATCCTATCGTCAGCTGATATCTGTCGTATTGGCCGGAGAATTCGGGTTACTGCGGTTGGAAGATTTCTTTTTTTTTTTTTTTTGTGTAAAAGAAAAGTGAGAAGTTAAAGTAAAAGTAAGAAGGGGATGCAATAAATCTTTTTTTGCACTCATAGCTTAAAAAGAGTTTAGATCGAAATAGAAGATTTTTCGCCTGATCGTTAAAGTCGATCCTCGCTCGTTAAGGGTTAAGTAAACGATCGTATCTCTCGACAGAGGTACGGATTATAATTAGTACGATTCGAGCCGTACCAAAGAAACAAAACACTCTTTCTCGTCTCCTTCCTCTAGAAGAATCTCTAACAAATTCCATTTTGAATGAACATTCTCCCGCAATTGCACCTTAACAAGACATCGAGACAGTAATTCCCTCTTGTTAGGAATGACCATCAACCTCCGCTCTGTTCCCTCGAACAAAGGTCTCTCCAGCATTCACGGTGTTCAAGGGGTACGCGAAGCAATCAGAAATTAGCCTTGCATAACGATTCGTAATGCCGTTTCGCGGCAGCGGTGAACATTGATTCAACAAGTTTACGCGCCAATAAATCTGAGAAATTAACGAACTGGCGGCACACAGTTTAGTGACAAACTTTACGACAACTTTTATTGTCTAGCCGGTCTTAACTGCTGTTCCCTGGTTATTCGTGTACAACTCTACCGTAACGAGAGAGGTTCGTTCAGAAACTCTCCTCTCCCACCCCTGGACGAAATAAACGTCTGTCCGAGACGAGAGGAATAGTTGGTCCACAGCGAGTCCTTCCCTTCGTAGATACTCCTCGTAGTTTATCGTCGTCCGGCAAATCTGCTACGAGTCCTTCACGCGGAGTTAACAGAGACAACTTAATCGTAAATCAAACGCGTTGTTGCTGTTGTTTATATTCCAGCTGCTGCCTCGAGACACTCCTTCGCGCGCGTAGGAGATAGGAAATTATTTTTCCCCTTTTAACGCTAATTATTTGCCGTGTCTTCGAATTAACGTGGCAACAAGCCTGTCTGTCTGGGGCATGTTTTGACGATGATTTGTCGATCGGTAGCTTCGACGATGCTGGGAACAACACTGGAATGGGCGTCGTTCGTCAAGTACAAGATGAGCACGAAGGAATTTCTTCCGCGTGAAATAAATCGTTTCCCAGAAATTGGAACGCAAGTGAAGAAAACAACGCGAATTTTTCTAGGTTTACGCGAGGGTTTCCTTCATTTTCGACTCGTTTTGTCAGTCGAAGGCTTGGACAGTGAAACGAGAGGCGTTGCGACATGCTCCTCGAATGCAAGAAGAACGCAAGAGTATACTTGTCCGGGATGGCTAATAACTCGTCGTAATGATTGCCACCTCATCCGCATACCTGACTTTCATTACTCTCCTGGGCGGATCGTCGAGATGCAATCTGGCTCGATAATCACGCGAAACGATTGTTTCGGATCGGTTTATTAATAAAACAGTACGAATACATCGAAAGAGTATATCTCGGTTCCTTCCGAACGCTGCACAATTTAATTCTATCGAATCGATCGAACAGAGTGGAAAATTGCCAGTTCAGAGTATGAAATTTCGACTGAAGAATTAGACAAACGATGTATCATGTATTTGCACAAGTCTCAACCACTCGTTGGTTATTGGTATTTATTATTCCAGCGTGGAAACTAACAAACGGATGAAGACGAGGCTGCGAGTCGAGTTGGAGTTTCCTTTCCGTTAGTGCAAATATTTTCACTGCTGAACAAGCCGAAACCTCGTGAAACGTCTCTGCTTCTCGTGCACGACTGATTTTCCTTCTTCAGAGAAATTGCGCCTTCTTATTTTCTTGGAAAAAGGCATGACCAAGCACCTACGAGGAAAATGTGACTTCGCGAGTCGAGCCGAAAAAGTAAGGACTGGAAACCGGCCTGAAGGGATGCAAAAATTCCTAGAGCGTTGAAAGCGAACGATCGAGAAAGCGACAGGGCGGCCAGGCAGTTTCTCGTACTCTTACTCGACTCAGAAATGACTGAGGTAACGAACGGTCGGCAGTCTAATTACTTAAGCGAAGTAGTCTCGTTGTCGGTGGCAGGAAAGAGGCATTCAGGAACCCACTTCTCGCTCTCTCGACCCTCGTTTCTCTATGTTTCTCTCTCTCTCTCTCTGTCTGTCTGTCGGTCTTTCGCCGTTCCGCGCTTTCCATTTAAGGAACAACCACCTCCTGCTCCTCTCGGCAGCCGTAGGCGTCTCGAGGGGTAAAACCAATAACGCTAAGACGCCCTCGAGAGTGAGTACATCCCCCCGAAAGTACCTCGCATACCGGGGACGTGCGGCCGCGAACGAACACTAATTTCCTCTCGACCTATCCTTGAGTTAGACGTCAGCTACCGAGCTGGCTGAGCGCGCGTCGTTCCTCTTCAACTCGCTCGCCGCGTCCTTGATTAACGCCGCGAGTCATTGTCAGTTCTCGTCACCTGTCTCGTCGTTGTCGTGCGTTTCCCATCGGGCAGGCAGTTTATCTTGCCACGTCCGTTTCCATTTTTAAGGGAAACGCGAATTATTCGGACTATTTGCCCGGTAACAATATAACGTAACTCTAGGTACACACGTACATGTATATGTATATATCGTTGGAATATTTCTGCCAAGGAAAAGTTGAAGAACGTTGATTCAGCATTACGCGTCACGCGATTGTTTTCCTTACTAGCCTAACTAACCGTTGCAAAACGGCGTGTTGTTCTTTGACAAACGACTGAATCTAACGATCTACGAATCGAAGGACAAGCGAACACGATACTCTCACATCTCTCTCTCTTTCTCTCTCTCTTTCTCGAAGACACTACCGAATGGAACGGATGGTGATATCGTCTAGATCAGTGAAAAACCAATGGAAGGTGATTGAATCGTCGTCGGAGGGGGGAGAATGTTTAAACGTAGCGTATTCCACGGAGAAAAGATGAACAATGACGCGAATGCTTGGGTTTTTACCGGCACGGTCCAGGTTCGCAGGGACACCGACGTCGATTATCCGCTTCTTGCCAGGAATTTTACCGATGATGCGATCCAATTGACGGAAAAACTCGCCGGATCGGGAACAATTAAACCGCTTCATCATTGTCCTGTCATCCGGGCGACGAGGCCAGGCGCGAGAGAGTTTTGTCGCCGAAGGACGACTAGTCGGTTTCGTACGATCGTCCCGCTCGATTTCATCCTCGAAACGCGAAAACGCGACAGCTACAGCGGCGATCTATACGTTGCGCTTCTGCTCTCGCAGAAAGAACCTCCAGGTTTCCCCTGGACCAGCCTGGTTCAGCCTTTGCGTAACGAATCGTAGAAACCGTCCGGGTCGTTCTCTTTCTGTTTTGCTCGGTTGGCTCGCCGGTCACGTTGCTTTTAATTGCAGCCGGTATATCGGTGTCGAGTCAGCGGTGAGAGAGACAGAGAGAGAGAGAGAGAGAGAGAGAGAGAGAAAGAGACGAGAGGGGCCTGGTTTGCGCTTCGAATTGGTTCGCAGGCAATCCGATGAATTGTCCCTTGGGATTGGTGGAAAAAGATCGGGAAAGACGAAACGTGTAAATAACGTTCGTCTTGCACCGACAAGCTCTCATCGATGAATTTAGCGAAATCATCTCCTCCTCGAGAGAGAAGCGACTAAAAAACCGTTCGATACCGCTCGGTCATTCGACGCGATTCAATCTCGCCGCGATTCAAATATCATGTACGTCCTAATGTTCTTGCGAAGGGAGTGTCGCGTTTTTGTGTCCCCGGCAAGCTTTGTCCCCATCCGCATCGCGGAGTCGCGGCTTTCGGACTGGGTAGAAAGAAAAAGAAGGCGACCAGCTTGAGAAACGCCCATCGCGTTTCTTTTCTGTCTCAATCGGCAGGAAAGTATTTCCAGAGGCGGTGTTGCATGATCGGCGGCGATGGTATTGGAACGCCGGTCCATCGCTGGATGTGTTTGAAAGATACGAGTTAGACGGTCGGGACGATCGGGCAGGGATCGCGCCAAGAAAGGAGACCGTTTCCAACGGATTCTTGGAAGCGAGGAGTAAGAGAAACGCTCCGGGATCAAGTCCTCATAAATTTATCGATCGTTCTTGCAAAACCCCGCGGAGAGCGGCGTGAACGACGATGAGGACGGCGTTTCAGGACTTTTTCTCTTCCCCCTATCCCCTCTCCCCTTCGCCGTTCACCCAAGGTGAATAGAAAGTAATCAAGTGTCTCGCGTGAAACGAAATCCGCGAAACGATGCCTGATGTGTCAGATACTTTCATTGTTTTTCCCTTCCAACGATTGTACGATAAAAGGGATAAAACTTGCGTCTTGGAATAGCGATGGAATAGTTGGGATTTATTTGAAGCTATATTTATTCATTATTGGATGAGCTTCGACTCACGACGATCGTACGATCATCGTATAATCGCTGTTTCCTTGCCAATTAATCACCCGTACAATTCACCAGAAACATAGAGAAATACTGTCTCTATCTTGTGGAGTATTTCGAACAAGCTTCGAGTATAAAATGACTCGTCAAGCGTAAACTAGAAATTCTTCTTCGTAGTTTACGTATGTAGAGGGGAAGCTTGCAACTTGGAAGTCTACCAGTGCACGGATAAACTCTGCCTCGATATCGTTTCGAAAGCGAAGGCTCTACTAGAGGAAAAGCTCGTAATTTGGAATTCCGCTGGTGTACGACCAGTAGCTAGAGCTATAAAGCTTGGCCGATAATTACGAGCTCCTGGACATGATCGCCACGATCGAAGTAGCGAACGATCGGCGGGAAACCGCGCGAAGTGAATCGTACACACCGTGAATCGCGCGCGGTGTCGCGTACGTGCAATGATCCGACCCGTTCTTAAAGCGCCACTAAACTTGCGCGTCACGTTCCTTTTAATTACGTCTGCCAGCGACGATGGACGCGAAACGACTGCGGAGGGGAGGGACGCGAAGGAATTCATTAAACGATACTCTGGAACAAACGGTGAGCTGTACTAGAACCGAACTGGGACAGGTGCTGGATCATACCGTCGAGAAACCACGCGAGCTCAGCCACGGGTTCTACGACATCGCTGTCGATCTAAAAAGGCAGTTACGTTATTTTTGCAATCGCGCAGGTGTCTGTCGGAGCTGCGTCCAATTCTCTCTATTCCGTCCGTGAAACCGAAACGAAATTGAAAAAGATAGACTGGTGATTGGAATAAAGGGATGCCATCTCGTTTGAGTTTCTTGAAGGGAGTTTTGAGAAACAAAAGGAGACGTTTCACATTATCAATAAATACTTTCTCCCTAATATTCAACATTTAATGGGAAATCGAATTTTCTGTTTTGTCTGTGAAATGAAATTGAAAATGATAGATTGGTGGCTGGAATGAAGGGATGCCATCTCGTTTGAGTTTCTTGAAGGGAGTTTTGAGAAAGGAGAAATTTATCATTAGACGTTTCACATCATCGATAAATACTTTTTCCCTAATATTCAACATCTAATAAGAAGATATACGGATATTATTTGGCCAGGCAGGTACATTTCTCTCATTTATGAAAACCGAAACACACTCGCGTATCGAATCTATCAAGTACCAGCACAAATTAACTGGCAAATAAATTCACTGGATCGATATATATATTTGCAATGGCGTGTCAATGTTTCAATTGCCTATAAATTTTTCGATTGCAACTACGCTCGAGTGAAACGGTAATTGAATCATTCTGAAACACGTAGAGAGGGTTAAGGAAATCTCTCCACGTATCACTCCACGTTTTGCAGTCGAGTGCTTAAATGCTCGCAAAAGTATACCCCGCGTTGCTACAGCGGACTATAGCAGAAATCAATTAAGAAGTCGGAAAATTTATCACGGGTCTGCGAGAGACCGGCTACAGGGAACATTTTCTCAATACCGGCCAGCCTTCGCGCTGTCCCGCGAACTGTCGCGATCGCCGCTCGCAATTATCAATTCTAATTAACGATCGTCGCGTCCAGACTTTCATTATTGTTTTTAATTACCAGCCCTGCTCGCTCGTTTCTCTAAATCACCGTTAATGAAACTATCTACCAGCCTGTCACTGACGAACGAACTTTTCCAGAGAATCAGCCTCTGAGGCATCGTGAATCGCGACGCCATTTTAAGGGAAACGATCGTCGTTGACTTTTCCCTTCGTGCTAACGAACGATTCTTTTTTCCTTCGTGTTTCTTACAACGATCTCGATTCAGGCGTCTCTATACGCGATTGTTGTTGCGTTGATCAAATGAGCAATGTTACAATACAAAAAGAATTAACCTAACTCTGTTCGAAGGCTCTATTTAATAGGAGCAATCATTTAGTCGATTCGATTATCACGTTTCAGAAATTCATTGCTGCAGGTAATGGACTAACGCAACTTCATCGTTTTACATTTCTAATAGCAAGATTCGGAGAATTTAAATCCACCAACATTGCAAAACTATCTATGAGAATCTAGTCATTACCATTAATTTTCAGTCATTGCGAGTGTATTTCGGGTCGTTTTTCAAAATTTTAAAATGAGGATAGAAATTACCAAGTAGTATCTGTCTTGCCTGAGTTAAATTTAAATATACTTAAAACTTGCAAATGAGAAAACGTTACAAATTTTGGACAAAAAGCGCATCCACAGAGTTCTGAAATTTTTGATTATTTGAGTGAAAATCAATCTCAAAAATTTAGCAAATTTACTATCGATGATCGTTCGCGTTCACCGTTGACGGAAGATAAACCCGTGATTATGGAATGGAGCAACGCTAGAGGAGGATAGGGTTAAAAAGGGTGAACGCAGCGGTCGAGCCAATTTCCATCGATTGGCCACATAAACTCGTTAGGTGTACGCTAACGACGAGAATGTTAGAGCAGATGATACGTTCGCCACCAGGCCTCAGTTCCTATTAAAATATAGCTTCATTGGTGCCTCACGTGGAAGGAAACGCGCGTAATTAAAGACGTTCACTGCGTGGGAAGCTGACCGGTCCTCTGCGATGAAGAAATGCCGATCGTTTATTTGGGAAGTCTGTTGCAAAGAAATTATCAAACCGATAATCTACGAACGTCGTACTTCGAAAGAGAGCAATTTCCGTTTCGTGCAATTCAAGCGTATAAAGTTGTGGTTTCAACAATGGCACCAGCAACCGGTATAAATCGTCGAGAACGCGTTCCTCGAAGACGGAACTGCTACACTAGAAAGTGAATAACGCGCTTCTCTGCATCGAAGGTTTCGATACTGGTATATCTCGGAAGAATGTTGGAACATTGTCCTTGATACGCGTGCTCTCTGCCGTTGCGTGTTCGAAGAAACGACAGGCGAGGAAGATTGAAACGTTCGAGTTTCGCAAAAACTCGAAAATACACTGGCTGTCGAGTACGAGAGCGAGGAATTTACATACTGGCGATCGTCGATCGTTCGGACAACGATTTTCTAGCAATTGACTCCTCGCCAAGATGAAATGATCCGCGCGGACATAATCTCTCGTCTCCTTAGGAGAGAGGCTTGTGAAGTTGCGCGATCGTTTGCGAGGGAAAACGAGCCGGATCGGCTTCGTCCGGTTTCCGTGAATCTGATCTATCCTGCTCCCTCGTTGAACGAGATCGCGGCCAGTCGCGTGTAAGTGTCACGTCGAGCAAGCAGAAATGACTGGATCGCGAGGTCCTCGACTGGTTCGAGCTCGGCTCGATGCTCGACTCGGAGTCGCGAGTTGAGTTATGACTACGGCCATTACTCGGGACAAACGAGGCTAAGCGTGTCGACACACGGCCGACCGACCGGCCTTCTCCGCTTCTCTTCTCTTCTCTTCGCTTCGCTTCTCTTCGCCCGAGTTTACGAGAATTACGACCGCGGCTCTTGGTGCAGCTTCGTCTCGGGACTGTTGGATTCCCCAACGGATTGACAGTTTTAAGGCTGGCTCCCTCGTTATCCAGGACGAGAGAGGTGGGGCCATGGGGTAGTGGTAGACACAGACCGAAGGGGGTCCGTCTTCTCGACACGAGGATCGGAGGAAGGCAGCTCATAACCCAGATTCGATGATAATTTACATCGGGACGTCAGACGTCTCGTTTGGTTTCTGCGTCGTCCGCGGCGGATGAGCTATTAGCCGCGGTTCGCCTGCTGCGCTATTCCCGGAAACGAACGGGAAACGCGGCCGACTAACGAGTGAAATGTCATTCGAAGAATTAAGACCTCTTCGTCTCCGTTAATTGCCACCTGTTTACCCGACGTGATTTTTCCTGCCAACCGCTTTTTCTCGCGCAAGAAGAATTTTTCAGACGAGGAGGAGGTATTAATTTTCTTACGTGTTGCATTCTTTCGAGAAGTCTGCGAAGTAGATCGATACAATCGATATTAATACCGGAACTGTCGAACCGTTACCTCTTTTTCACCGGAGGAGGGACACCGTGACTGCGTCATTTTCAATAGAAATTTGACGAATTTCATTTTTTTCTTACTTTCGTTCACCGAGACATTATATCGAGATGAAGATGTCCTTGCCCTAAAGTTAGTTTAGAAAATAGACGTCCATTGGAAGATTGAAAACGAGAGACTAAAATACGAGGCAGCATGTGTCACCACAAACGAGGGTGAAATAGTAATGGCTTCGAGAACGCTCACGTTCGTCCGGTGCGGTTCTCGTCATAATCGTCTCGTCTATAGCGCCCGAGCGTACGGCCTCTAACTGTCGTGGCTCGTTACTTACTTCGTCCTGAGAACAAAAAAAGAAAAAACACACCGGTTAAAAAAGCATTTGATCGTGGACAGGCATTTCATTAATAATAATTAATTATCCATTCTCGCGTGCCCTTGTTTCATTTCGTTTCTCGCGAACGAAAACGAAAGGGCTTGAATGGAGCATTTATTGCGTTTCCCCTGTCGGTCCTAACGTCAATTAATCGAACGACTATAATGATTTACGATTGCAATATTAGTTTCTCTCTCTTTCTCTCTCCGGGTTCCCGGGTTCGATTGAAAACCCGGACGAATCGAATTTCGCGACGTGCTCCTTTCAACACTCGAGGAGATCAATCGAAAAAACGAAGAAACCATTCACTCGGGAAACAATTCGCCGCGGACTTGAAAAAGTTAGAGACAATGACCCGTGGGTAATAAATCAAACTTCGCGGCGTGTAAAAGGGATCCGTTTTCTCGTTTCGATCGGAACGGACCGAAATTCTCGTCGAGAGCGAGCGAACGACAATAATAACGAGTGTTTGAAAGAATAGTCAGACCGTGAGACTTTCAGTCGCAGCAACTCGCGAAAGAGAGAGAGACGTAGCGCGTGGAAACGTGTGACAGAAATTCTGCCGATCGAGCGGATCGACGTCGGTTTTATCCCGTCTACGCCCGTTCCCCGCGATCGTTCACATTTTTTCCACGGCACTCGTTAAGGTGTAGCTACCGGGGACCCGCGGAATCGTACGAAAAGCAGTCGTGCCCCGTGGCCGTGCCCATAACCATAAATAATGACCATTGATTGGTCACTCGTCGATCGTTACCTGCGTCGTACGTGACTGCGTTTAACGTTTCCACGGGTCGTTAGTCCGTTTTCCATTAAGGCGCGGTTCTCAGATCTCTGGTCTCTCGCTTCTGTTCGTTCTCATTCTGCACGTTCGAATCGTTTTATCTCGCGTGCGCGCGCTCGCCGCCGATAAACATTCGATAAAACGTTGCTATTTCGAACGATTTTAAAGTCAGCGTTACACGTGTAAACGCTGGATACCACGTCAGTTCCCCAGACATATCTTCCGGCTTGGCTTACGATACGAATTGCTTTCCCTTGTAATCAAGTTACGTTTATCTCGTCTCTCTCTCTCTCTCTCTCTCTCTGATTCCTCGGGAATTCCTGCGATTCCTCGCTAGAATCGAGGATATGCGACGATATTGTCGTACGTTCTCAACTCGAGAACTGCACGATAATTGCGCGAGATCTTCTCGGCGGCGATGATGAACACGAAGATACGAGAAAATCGCGATAACCACGTTTTTCTCGATCCGTCTACCATAGACGGATAAATCGGATAAAAGGAGATAGTCGAGCGAGATTCGCTTCGAGGGAAATTCGAAAAAATACTCATTTTATGACTTATCATCGTGTTTTCACCTGTTGTATCGCGCTAATCTATTAATTATTATTAACTGCGAACGTCTCGTTGTTGCTTCGCGATGATTCCAGCTGGCTCGATCGCCATTTTGCACGCGAGATTGTAAAATCGAAGCGAGAGGCAGTGGACAGAACGGCGGAAAGGAGGCAGCTTAATTACGTCCTCGCGAGGCTGCCAATTTCGAGCGGATATTTGTTTACGCGCGCGTACGTAACGACGGTTCCGATGGCGAGAATCGTTTCGCAATTTAAAGCGGGGCAGATGGCTGGCAAACGCGGTGAGCGCACAGAAATGAGAAATGGAAATTCGTAAATAACGTATCGTTCCAAGAGACGATTAATGACTTCATTTCTGGCCCGGTTCTTCCGGTGTCGAATCACCTTCTTTTTAATGATTCTACGCGTACAAATGCGATATTTCAATCGAAGAAGATGTGTGTAGTTGGGTGCACGTGGAATAAGAACTTGATCGAATTTTGTTTATTAACAATTTATTTATCGCTCATGATGAAAGTACCGGGCCGGTTTTGGAATGTATGTGCCTATTTATCGAGCTACTAAGCTCAATCTAATTACTTGACTAGTATTCGTGTATTACCTTGTAACGTAATAATGCTTTTCACGAAATGAACTAATTTTGTAAATATTTCTTTAAGTGCGATACCAAGTAACAATCACCCTTGTGTATTATGTTCTGCTTCTTATTTTCTTTTCGATACACATACTATCTATATTGTCTTTGGGGAGTTTTGTTTTTCCCACTAGTCACGATTTTTACAAGTTCATGATTCTTTCTGATCGGCTAGCCGATAACCGTTAATATATATATATATATATATATATATATATATATATATATATATAAACCGATTAATAGGCTTCCGGTAGACAAAGTGTCAAGTATAATATTTAATCGGTGAAGAAGTTGCACGAGTCGCCCTAGAAAGAGAAGCACAGCTGATTTTCGTTCGAATTGGAAAATCGATTCGTCATGTTATCATCGACAGTGGCGACAAATTTCACATCGAATTCCCGAATGGCTCGACTCGATAGAAATCTTTAATGCTTCGGTACGCTTGTCACTGTTCAGATAATCGACTTTCACTGGTTCTCGAATTTTCGAATTAAAAAGTTCTCAAATCCGTATCGAGGAGAACAGGAATCATTAAGATCGATGTTCGCAGTGGTGTACGATCATCGTGCAGGCTAGTGCGCAGAGCGTTAAAAATAGACGGTATCATTGAAATCGATTGGCCCGCGGTCATGCATTCAGACCGTTGATCTTTCGTCGCCGGTTGCGATATTCATCGTTCCTGCAGTGAGATAACAAAGACACGAGATAAACGAACGAATCCAGCTCTCCGCTCGTTGCTCGAACAAGCATAATTCAACCGCGTTACATGCTCGATGTATTACTTACATTGTTCCAATCACGGTACCACCGGTCATTGTTGTTATTAATTATTACATTAAATCGCAACGCTATTATCGCGATATGGATCGTTACAATATCGATCTCGCTGTTCCTTTCAGATCTCCATCTAATTGCGTTAGATCGGAAGATACCATTGTAACCCCGACAACGACTTCTCTCGTTACGTTATCTAAACGATCCGAGTCGAAGTTTCACTTTCATTAAAGTCACATTCGAAAGTAAAGTTTCACAAAGCAAAGAGACGCAGCTGTTTGGAGATATTTATCTACGATTATCTTTCTTCGTTCACATAAAACCATAGTTATCGCATTGTTCTCTTATCGACGGAAGAATTCGACTATCCTAAATTCTTTTATTCCATCGTTCAAGTGGTATCTTTTTAATGGTACGTGTATCCGATGGCGATTGTGGAACAGGCGATTTCTAAATCGTATAACGCGCACACCGTGGCGATATCGTCGATCACGGAGCCGAAGTTATCCGGCCACGGTATTTAATAACCATCATCGTTGGTTATTACGGTTCTCCGTGAACGATGAATAGCTGACCATTCGACGTCGACTGATAGCCGTTCCCACGATAACGCGAACGCCGTTTCAATAATCCCGAGCTTTAAGGACGGTGTTCGCTTATAAAATTGCCAGTTGGCTCTCGCCGGGCGAGAGCACGACAAAATCTCTGAATCGTACGTGATCTAACGACCGGTTGAAACAGTCCCTTTCGTTCGATATACTCGCGATAAACATCAGGATTTTTCTTCAAATCGTCCTGAATCTTTACACTCGAAACTAACGTTTAGGGTTATGTAAGAGAGCCTCGGGCAAAATTAGAATGGAACGTCGACGAGGAATTACGTTTTACGTCCGCGTAAAGACGTAAAACGTAAAAGTCTTTGTTTCTCTATGAAACGGCAATTAACCATAATTACGATCTCTTAATGCCACGAACGAGCCTTGAGTATGCCGAGTCGTTAATGGTTCGTTTACAGAGACCGTGTGGCCGAGCGTCGGCATTTAGCGTTGTTCGACCGCGATAAAAAAAATTCTTACCACGATAATCGATGAGCGTAGAGTGACGCAGCCCGCACGTCGTTGGACAAAATCGCCGCCATCGACTTCATAAATCGAATTCCGCGGTTGGTCGCGGACAAATCAATTAGCTTCGCGGTTAATTCGAGACTCTCGTAACGTGATGCATTTACTCAACGACGTTTACACGTGTTTCAATTCACGCCGGTTCCTCGAAATTTCCATTGCTAGGAATTGTACTATCGTTTCTAGGATCAAGATGCAACGAGTTCTTATCAACGTGAGATTAAGTAATCGTTAAAGCGTGCGCGTCCCGTTCGTTTTCTCTCTGTGTTTGCCAGGTATGAAAATCCACGATTTTTCTGAGTTATTTCCTGTGCAGTATTCCATGAACGTTTATTTGATCACGGCTAAGTAACCGTATAATCAAACCACAACCTCCAGATCGCATAGACATTTATGTGTAAATTGCGTGAGTGTAACGTGGTACTCGAAGAATTCTTTTTAATTATGCCCGTAAAAATGTTAATTCGCGTTAATAAACATCCTCTGGAGCAAGACGATCTTAATTCCGTTAATTGAGATATTCCATTATACTTACGATTCGCACGCGAGAACGGGAAACAGAGAGAAACTTCAAAGTATAACGACGAACAATATTTTGGATCTTGGCCATTTGGTACGTCAGACCCGGAGTCTGCCGATCGCTTCGATAGCTCAATCCGTATCTCCGTATACTCGTTCGATAAACAAATTCGTTCCCCCAGCTCCGATATAAACGCCACGCAGAGGCATCGAGCTGTGTACAGGGTGGAAAGAAAAGTTTGTCCGTGGCTATTATAGATGAATTCGAGACCTTCGATTTAAATTGACTTTCAAGATCAAAAATTTCTTTCTTTTTTCCTTTGTATTGCATTCTACTCATCACGAAGGTGAAACTTTTCCAAGGAACCATAAGTCGCGACCAAATAGTTGTATTTAAAAAATGGCGAAAAAGTTTCTTAATCACTTAACGCGTGCGTCCTAACAACGACTTTACGTTTCTGGACGCGCGAACGTCTATTTTACGTAATTTTCATATTAGCTTTCACTAACATTTGATTTATCACAGTGATTTATCATCAGCGTGAGTCTGAATAATA